CAATATCTAGGGTGGTCAGAGATCCCCATAGCCCAATGTAGAAATCATTCACTGTTGTTATAAATCCCATGCATGCTCCAACTGTTTTGCATGGCAGAGTGACAAAACTGGTATAGACTGGGGTATGTAGAATTTTCTTGAGTCATATCAACTATGCAGTCTGAAGCTGAGTTTTCAGTGCCGGCCGTTAGCCCCAAACTCTCCTGGGTGAAGAAAGAATAAAGAAAAGTCAAATAACATGCTGCGATGGGCCGAACCATCTTTCCTTTCATTCCAGCTCACCTCCTCTCTTCCTGCACCATTATTTCTCATGTCTGATTCTACCCTTAAAATCAACTTAACTATCAGGAACAAAAAGTGAAGAAAGGGCTGTGGACACTCATAGAAAACAGGCTACAAAGAAAAGATAAACTTTTAACTCCACATAAAAGTTTACAAAATGACTTCACCCATATTATCTTGTATAATTGTTTGTGTTTTACAGATAGGGAAACTAAGTCCCAGGATATGAAATAACTTATTTGTGCAGAACCACAAAGTTAAATAAATGTCAGAGCTGCCCCTTGAATCCAAATCTTCTGGCTACAAATCACTTTCTTTTACTCAAAAGACTTAGACATCAATGAGTACTCATACTGTTAGCATATTGAGAGTATTTTTCTTTTAAGTGTATCATGATTTTATTGTTACATTTGTAATTATAGGTTTTTCTAAGGTCACTTCAGTTATTATTACTGAGTCTGAAATCACAAACTATCTAGATGAATGCATTTAATCCACTTTAATAAATATTTAGTGTCTTAGATAAATAAAATGTTGGCCACCACACCCTCAAGAAGCAGAGAAAGCATTTATGTAAATATATAGATGAAATGTTTTTTGATATATTCTGTAATGGATGAATGACTAAAATAAGGAAAAATACAGAGCATTAGTTCTTGAACCCCAGTATGCCTCAGAACCCCCTGAAGGGCTGTAAAAAATAGATTTTAGGCCCCATAATCAGAATTCTGAACTTAGTAGCTATGGGATGCTCCCAAGAATGTGAGTTCCTAATGAATTCCTGGGTAGTATTGATACCACTGGTCCAGAGAACACACTTGGAAAGCTGACATTTTCTTCCATCTGGAAGAGTCAGAAAAGATATTGTAGAAATGACATCCAGATAAATCTTAAAGAATTAGAAGGAATTTGCATCTGGATAGAATCGCATTTAGTAGATGGAATAGCACATATTAAAGGTATAGATAGGTAAAACAACAGGTGAACACAAAATATTTTTTTATTGCTACAATCAAAAGAGAAGTAGACAATAGTGAGAGATGTAGCTGAGCTCATGCTATGCTAGGACACATGGTATTTGTCCTATAGACTGTGCAGAGCCCCTGAAGGATTTGAAATGGAAACACACTTAAGTCACATTTGTATTTTTGGGAAACTAATTCTAATGCCAATATGAAGGCTTGGAGGAAATTCCCACTTACTGCCTAAACATGAAAAAGCTCTTTTGAACATCTATAGAATTGTGCCCAAGAGTAGTAAAATGTATGTACATCCTGGTATTCCCCTCAGTTAATTAGTCCCTGTGTGCCATGCACACGTAGAAGTCAAAGACATCATCCTTTCCCACCAGCACATATGGGAACCAACCGTTATACAGAGGAAACAACCAAACACAAGAAAAGGCAGAAATTTACCAAGGGAAGATTTGAGAAAGGCCAGCTAGGGAAAAAACAATCAGCCAGGGCTTTGTGGAGAAGGCATGACAAACACAGAACCTGGTATTTGCATGGCTAGAATAAATCATTGCAGGCAAGAGGGAACCTGGAGTAAAGGAATAGAGGGAGAACTAGACTTTGGATGGACAGGACATTGTAGAAGCTGGGGCACCTGGTTAAATTCTGGCAAGGACTCTTCTTGAGACATGGTAGAAAAGTGGAAAAGAAGTTTATATCAGAAAGAATTTTCCCACAGTGAAAATAACCTCTGGAAGATTCTAGAAAAAGAATACATTAGGACAAGTTAGTGAAAGGAAATATACACAGTGTTTCTCCAACAACATCAAGCCCTCTCTCATTTCTTATCACCCAAGGACAATAAGAATCAAGAGAAGAGGCTATAAAACTTGGGTTGGTGGACAGCAAAGAAGAAAAATGCATTGGGCTTTGGTCCTGATGGGGCCAAAATGACAATAGTTTACTGCCCTGGGAGCTGGCCATTGTCCTGACAATGAGGTAGTTGGCCATCTGACAGCTGCTTATAAAAGGCCATCTGTCTTATGAATTGGGATGAAGGCCTGGGAAGTCTTCCATTTTAGCTCCCAGATGGTAGCACAATGTACTCTCACAAGGGAGATTCCTGGGTTTTGTGCTCATTCCCAAATTTGTAAATATGAAAATGTTTTTTGCATGTTGATTTTGTGAATCGTTTCCACTGTATTTCTTCCCATCACATCTTAACCATCTTTACAGAGTTCATTTAAGTTTGATCCTCTATCCAAATACAAATTTTTTTTCCTAGTGTTTTTTTTTTTTTTTTTGTAAAAAATGACAGATTTGTTCAGGTCAGTGCTGATTTTACATTCCACACATCCTTAAAATTACCCCAGACTTTAATTTTCTGGCCAATGCATCAACCTTTCCTTAGATTGATGTGCTTTTTTATGTCCATTCCCAGGAGCAGCACATGACTTTTCCTTCAAGGTCATTATCCCTCAAGTGGCTAAGTTCTCATGTGAGGAATTCAAATGTATGCCTCCAAGAAGTGACATTTTATACAGCTGTGGGTGGTGAGGAGGGATGTAGGTTGAGGCAGTGGGCTGCTCGGTTAGGCTAGTCTCTGCCTGTGACCCCATCCCCATACCAGCCAGGCAGCTGGTGCTGTTCAAATTCAAACCTCATCAAATTAAAACTTACTGCACACGTGGGCTTTTGTGGTCAAAAAGGGAGAGTTGGAACAACAACTAATAAATCAGAGATCCTAATGTGTCTGACATTGGGATGGGAGCTAGGAGGCCTATGTCTAGAAATGCAGATAGGAGATCACCCATTTTAATAAGATGTATTTCATTAAACTCAGTGAGCAAACCTTATTGAATTTGTCACTAACTATATTTAAACACAATCAATCTTAAATTTCCTCTATCTAGAATTTTGCCTTGGAAAAAAGCAAAGAGAGAGAGGAAAAGTATTTGTTGAAGAGTCATTCATGGGGTATTTGGAAAACAAAACAAAAAAATTAATTGAATTACAGTCTATGTAATTATTTAATCTCTATCAATTGGTCCCATGAAGCTCCTATATTCCTTCAAGAGCTTGTACTTGGCCATAAACATAAATTATTTTATTAGTACCAAGAAAAAGTCTTCTCAATGTTAACCTTGATGACCCCCCCCCACCACTGCCACAAAGAATATTATATAAAAGGGGAAAACATTTTGGGTTTCCATTTTGGTTTAAGAGACCATCATCCCTCCATTTGCATATCTAGTGAACCTGCTAAAGTACCGGTAGTCTCTGAGGAATGGCTAATATAAATAGGATGTTATTGCATCAGACAGGTAAGAATAATTTCTCTAATTAGTCATTTGAGATTTCATTTTTCACTTGGAAATACTGGAAATTTAATTTGTTTGTGAAGTGCAATTGGCAAACTGACAATAGGCACGACTGCACCCTCCCCTCCATCTTGCTGTGCTGATAGCCTGCAGAAAGCACTGGAGGTCTCCATGAAGATTCTTTGCTTCATCCATCAAAATCACACTAACTAAAGAACCTCCGTATTGAAAAATGTGTCCTAATTACGCATTTCTCACTTGCAATGCTAGAATAATCCTAATGAGCTTCCAGTGATCATTTTTCTTCTAGAATAAATGTTTTCTCACAAGTCCCCCAAATTTTGCACTGGTGAAGTAATTTATGATACATTCTCATTTACATCAGAACATTGTTCTTAGAGGTACAGAGCAAAAATATTTTTAGTAAGCTGCATTTTACAAATTAAAGTATGTGCATAATTGAAGACAGTCCTTGCTTGGCCTTTGATTAAAGAAAGAGTTCATCCTATTTATTTTGTTTTAAAACACCCGTCTCTAAAGAAAAAGATTGATTGGCATCAAATGTACTCACCATAAATCATAGCTATTGATTTTACATTTGTTTTAGCTCTTCCGATTTTGTGTCTCCTATGTCATAATTTGTTATCCTGATAGCCAGCCCCTGAGTCAGTGCTTGGACTAAGCATGAAAGGTGGTTTCTTTCAATTCAGACTAATCTGTACATGAAACACATGAGCTTTCAAACACAGAACCATGCTCTTCTCACTTTTTATGATATTACTCTGGTATTTCCCACAGAGACCACAGATGCTACTTATCTGTGATAAGTGACAACATTAGGGACATTTGCATTGTCCAGTCAGCATCCAACACAGACTTGTCCCCTAACTGCCTTGGAAGCCAGTTGCTCCTCCACTTGGCTCTTCCTGTATAAAACTGATTCAGAATGCAAGCTTGCTTGGCATTATCAAGGCCCTGGATTTAGACCCTAGCACCACAAATAATAATAATAATAACAACAACAAAACAACAACAACAATGATAATAATAATAATAACTCCTCTGTTTTTCATAATGATACACAGTTGAGAATTCAGAATTCAAATGTTATAGCCATCTTCTGGAAGCTCTTAAGGTCATATAATTCTTCCATCTTTCCCAAGTAGCAGAAGTGAGGAGAGATGGAGCATCTGCTGGCTACATCCCACTTCGTTCATTAAAGAAGGACTGTCAGCAGCCCTCTTTTTAATCTGCATCTGCTTAGATGCTTGTAGGTGAAGCTTAGGATGCTGCTATTTAAGGTATAATGAGATAGACTTCCAAAGCATCCAGGTATCCAGGTATCTCTTCTTGTGTTTTTATTACCTCCCCCCCAGCCTATTTGAATGAATGTTCTCATTTTAACTTGCTATTTTATACCTTTCTCCTTTGGCTTCCCATTCAGTATTCAGTCACATCACTCAAGACCATCCCAGAGCTGTGCCGAAGATGTGATTCACAAAATGAAGACAGATCAGGTAAGTTGGGCTGCTCTCCTCTTTCCCCCATCCTGGCTTAAGGACTCCTGCAAAATAGTTTGCCCTCCTGCTGGCTGCTCCTGCTTTCTGTTTTCATTTCCTTTGGCAATTTCTCTGCTCACACCCACTCCCTGCCACCTTCAACAAATGGTTGTTAAGGTTATCCACAAAAGGATAGCAGGACAGGGAAGCCCTAATAAGGACCCGGCTGTGTACAGATAAACTGTACATCATCTCAGCATCTCCAAACCACAGTGTATGCAGCAATTTACTGAAAACCCAAGAAGGCATTGGTGACAAAACATAATGATGCAGGCGCCAATGAAAAAATGTTGGATGTATTTACTACCCATATGGCAAGGACCAGCTTGGGGGATGGTGCTTTGCCAAAGTCTGAAACCCTATCAGGAGTGCGACATGATAGAATCTGCAATAAGGCATACTGTAACAGTTAAGATTAAAGAAAAGCTTTGGAGTTTAATAGTGTAAACTAAACAGAGAATTATGGCATATAGATGAAAACCAGCTGGTTGACCTTTTCTCCTTTCAGCCCCCTCCCTCAATTAAAAAAAAAAAAAGTACATTTAGGGTTGTTTTTCTCTGTGTAAATCAAATTAAGCTTTCTGCTTTTCTCACTGTGATGGGCAAAAATGAAAATAAAAAGGATATTGATGGGAATGATATCATGGTATTAAACTATGAAATGATGTTTATTGTTTTTTCCCAGTAATTACCGTAAGGCATCACCATTAACCTTGCCAAGGCTGGACCTCCTCTGATAGTGAGGAGAGTTTGGAGAGCCATGGTTGGTGAAGGCTTAAGATAATCCTCAAATTACATATATCATCTTTAAAAATAAAAAGACGTACCAGCTACCAGAAGTCCCAGCCTTTCTTACTCAAAGGACTTTTGCAAAGCTAATTTTTCCCTGGATTGTTTCTTTCAACATTTTGCTTAGATGAGACAGGAAAAATAACTGGTCTCTGTGTGTTTATCTGCGTGTTGTTTGTGAGTGTGAATGAAAGTGATGTACCCTTGTTTGGGTCAGAAAATAGCTTAAAGTTCAAATGAGACTTTTCATTTGCCCTTAGTTTGTTCTACCTTTTTATTTTAAAGATTCTCCTGTTCTATAGGGTTTAAGAGAGGCTTTTGGTTGTAAGCCTTACAAAGCAGTATGTCCTTAAAAGGTAGCATTTGTTTCAAAGTTGAACCAACGACTGTGGTTAGTGACAGAGACCACAGACTGCAACAGAGAGGCCACCACGCTCAGAGACTAAAAACTAAAGACTCGGGTTCTTGTTAGAATCAGCCATTTAACAGCTACATGACCCTGAACCTGTGGCTATCTATAGAATAAAGAAGAAACTTCTTTTACCAAAGACACCAGGCTATTGTTAGGATCAAAACTGGGTAATGTATATTAAGGCATTTTGCAGATATAAAATTTTCTTTCTTCTTTAATTAGAGACGGGACATAAGAAAACATAACAGCAAATGCTTTATTGTAAAGAAGTAGGCACTGTTAATGTACTCAGTATTTCTGTAAGTACTTTACTTCTGTTAACTACATTAATTCTAATAGCCCTGAGAGCTTAGTACTATTAGTAGTTTATACTATTGATGGGCAAACTGAGGAACAGAGATTAATATCTTGCCCAGAGTCACAGAGCAATGAAGTCATAAACTGGGATTCAGACCCCAGGAAGTCTGCCTCTAGATTTTGTTCTCTTATTCTTTACATATACCACCTCTCAGATAAATGGACTTAGTGGCAACTGTAGGATGCTATCCTTTGAAAGCTGTTAAAATCAGCATTCTCCTCCCATTAAGTGGTGAATTTCTTTTTCTCTGTTAAATAACTACTCTTACTTACCAAGTTAAGTGAATAAACAGAAACTTTAACAATTGTTTTTCCTGGGGCTGGTTTATTCCATTCTCTTCAGGCCTTGTAACTAACAGCCATGTCCATCATCTGGGATTCTAGATGTTCTTCTGCAGTGGTGAAGGAGGCCAGCTTCACATTCATGAGCATTTGCCCTTCACCCAAAGCAAGGACTCAGGCTCAGGGTGATCAGAAATAATGAGATTTGCCAGAATATTGATGTACAAGGAAAAGGCTCAGACTCTCGATGAAACCACATATACCACCTCCAACTTGATGGACCATTTGGAGGCAGTTCCCCAGCCTTCAAGTAGACAAAAAGTAATCCTAGAAAAAGACACACAAGACAAATTCACCTGTGTACAGCACGGCTGTATAATTAATTACTTGTGGACTTTGAAAGAAATCTCAACACGGTAAAGTCAGAAGGCAAGTAGGATCATTACAGAGGGTAATATGGGGCCCCAGGAGCAAATGTGAAAGAATAACTTAAGGGTTTTAGGGAGAGCTTAGAAGGTCAGGGAATGTTGGAACAATCAGCCATGTGAAAGGCAGTGAAGAGGATTGGGGATTTAGGGCAAAGGAACTAAGGAAGGGCAAAATCCCTGAGCTAGGGATGATCTTAGCAAATATGAGGAAGAAAACAAAACCTGTGAAGTGGCTGCCTGGTGATCAGAACAGGAGTGATAAAAGGGGAGATCAGGGAGATGGCCCAGACCAAACTCCCTAGGAAGTTCAGGTTTTCTACTAAGTGTAGTGAAAAGCACTACCAGCAGGATTCCAGTTTTTCTAAAACTCTATCATGGGTTGAGTATTCCTTGTGCAAAATGCTTCAGATTTCAGAGATTTTTTTTTTTTTTTTTTTTGGAATTTGGGGATTTCTGCATACTTAAGTGGCTGAATACTCTTAATCCAAATATCCAAAATCTGCAAAGCTCTGAGATACAAAACTTGTTGAGCATCATGTCAGCACGCAAAATGTTTCAGATTTGGGAGCATTTTGGATTTGTCAATTGGGGTGCTCAATCTGTACCGGGAAAGAAGCCTCAGCATGTAGAATCAGAGTTCTTAGTAAGTAAGGGACTTTAAAAATCATCAAGTCTGAGAGAAAGAGTAAGTGAGAAAGTCTAAACAATAGAACCAATGGGTAAAATGTTGACAACAGATGAGTGTGGATGAAGGATACATGGCTGTTTGGGGGTAATGTTCTTAGTTTTGCAACTATTATATAAATTTATTTTTAATGGAAATTTTTAAACTATTTATAAATAAAAAGTTTTCTATAAGGTAAACAAACAAAATAAAATACGTATTCCAAAGCTAGCCTCTGAAGGTGATTCTTACTATCCCAACCCTGGGGTCACTCTGCCTGTATTTCATCACTTGGTGTCAGGGAGTGCCCAGTCTTAGGATGCAGCCTGTCCATAAAGCTTAATGTTGTTATTCAGCCAAACTCGGTGTCCCTTGACTTTCCACCCATCAACCCTCGTTCTTCCTTGGAACTATTGAGAAGAATAATCTCCCCGGACAAGACTGCTGCTAAGTGTGTAGAGATAGCCATCAGTCTTGGCATTTGCCAGGTTAACATTTCCCTCCAGTTTTATGTGCATCCTGGTCATTCTTGCTCTGTGGTGGATGACTGAGGTTTTCCAGGGTCCCTCTTAAAGCCAAACACCCAGAACAGAATCCAAGGGGTCTTTCCGGGTGTTCTGATCAGAACCTGTGAGTCCCATGGAATAGCTCCTACGGTGTATTACATATTTTTCCTGCCTGCCCAGGTGGGCTCATCAGTTCTGCCTGCTTCCTGAGTGTAGAGGAGCAGGGATGTCAAGTAAGCCCTGGTTGTGGCCTTTTGGAAGCCCCTGTGCAAGGCATACAGCTAGGGCTTACTTCCTTCATCTCTGCATCAGGGCCAGCTCCAGTGGGGGTTCACAGGAACTGCAGTGGGAGAGTGTTACAGAGGCCTGGGACCCAGCTCCTTTCTCCTCCCTCCAGCTCACCAAGGCCTGGAAGTTCTTTGTTAGAGTGCCCTGCCTTTAATCAGAGACTTTGATTCCTATTGACATCTATATTCTTCCCTGACAAGAATAATGATTTAAGCTATTCTCTGTTAATTACACAACTATCACTGGGCTTCAGATTTTTGTGAGAAGAGATTTTGAAAGGAAAGGTGGGGAAATTGGAGATAATCACAGGCAGGTGATGGGGAGGCAGGGAAGGAGCCAGAAGCCCTAGAACAGGCTGTGCTGGGAGCTACACAGGTGCTGCTGAAGTATCTGAATTGTTTCTTAGATGTTGAGTGTGCCAGGCTTTATGCCAGGTGCTCTGTAAACAGCCTGCGTATCCTCAACTTAATTCTCTGAGGGAGGACCATTGTGTTCATTTTATTGATGGAGGAAATTGAGGCCTGCAGAGTAAATAATTTGTCCAAAAGTTCTGGAGTTAGCAAATGAACATGAAGGCATCTCTGCTGTCTCCAGGACTCCTCTGAATTTTTGTCAACTGAGAAGTAATTTTAAAATCAGCATACTATAGTGATGCAGTCTCATCAATGTTTATAGCAGCTCAACTCACAATTGCTAAGCTATGGAACCAACCTAGGTGCCCTTCAACATATGAATGGATACAGCTAAAGTGATAATACCCAAGGGAATGTTATTCAGCCATAAAGAAGAATGAAATTATGGTGTTTGCCAGTAAATGGATAAACTGGAGACTATCATGCTAAGTTTAATAAGCCAATCCCCAAACAACCAAAAGCTAGATGTTCTCTATGATAGGCGGATGCTAGCTCTCAATAAGTGGAGAGGAGGGAAGAATAGAAGTTCACTGGATTAGACAAAAAGGAATGAAGGGAAGAGAGGGGGGGATGAGAATAGGAAAGAGTAGAATCAATCACTTATAACTTTCTTGTGTTCATATATGAATACACGACCAGTGTAACTCTACATATGTACAACCACAAAAATGTGAAGTTGTACTCTATGTATGTATGTATGTCAAAATGCATTCCACTGTCATCTATAACTAAAAAGAACAATCAAAAGATTTTAGAAAGAAGTAATTTAGTCTAAGGAATAACGTGTAGCAAATAGTATAGGTTAGAATTAGCTGCAAA